ACATACATACATACATACATACATACATACATACATACATACATACACATACTTATAGAAAAACATAAAAGTAAATCCTTTTAAAAAAGAAAGAAGATTATTTAAATAAGAAAAGAGCTCAGTGGTGGGAGGGCGGCCTCGCTGTTTCCTTTCTCACCCAGGAGAGTCTAGGAGCATTTGGAGAGCAGCTTATGTACCCCCCCCCCCCGCCCCGTACCTCACTGAGACGATAAACGCGATCAGCAAGATGAGGATGAGGGCTCCAGCAATGGTGCCCACAATGGTGAGGATCAGCTGGAAGGCTGAAAAGGGAAAGACAGGAACAGTGCTCTGGTTAGCTTTAACTGTCAACTTGGCCCAACCTAACCTGGGAAGAGAGTCTCAAATGAGGCACTGTCTAAACTGGGTGAGCCTGTGGGCCGGGGGTTGTCTTGACTTGGTAATTGATACAGGAAGACCCAGCCCAGTGTGGGAAGCTCCATTCCCTAGGTAGGGGGTCCTGAACAGTAAGAGAAGAAAGCTCGCTGGGAGCAAGAGGGCAGCGAGCAAGGAGCAAAGTATTTATTTTCTTTTTGCTCTTGACTGTGGATGCAATGCTTGAGCTCCTCCCTTGATTTTCCCAAAATAATAGAATGTATCCTGGAATTATAAACCAAACAAAGCCCCCCTCCCCCACCTATCTCTTTCCTCCCTTCCTCCTTCCCCCCCTCTTTTTCTTTCTCCTCCCTTCCTCCACCTCCCTCTTTTCTTGACAGGGGAGGGAGAAGTTGGGTTTCCTCTGTGTAGCCCTGGCTGTCCTGGAAGTCACAGAGATCTGCCTGCCTCTGCCTCCTGAGTGCTGGGATTAAAGGTGTGAGCCACCTCTGCCTGGCTGCCTTTCTCTCTGACGCTGCTTTTGGCCAGGATGTTTGTCTCGGCAACAGAAATGAAACTAGAACAAATGGCCTCCAGCAAATGGGTCATGCTACCCACTGCACAGAGGCCCCGTGTTCCCAGTGACTCCTGAGAGCTCAGTCAGGTTCTCCCAGCCCTGCAGAGGCAGGCAGGGCCGGCACTCGCCCCTGGCTGTCAGTTCTGTCAACTGTTCTAACAGCAGGACCGTTGCTGCCCATCACCCAGGCGTGAATGTGGGATGCAGGACATGTGTCTCTTAGATGTTTAGTGATTTAGGGTGTCTGTACTCACGGTCTTTGCAATCCACCCCGCTGTAGCCAAATGGACACCTGGAACACAGTCACAAGAGGAGGCCACATTAAAGAACATCCTTAATTCCCACCCCAGTTTCCGCTTCTCCCTTCCTGTCTGCCTTTCATCCTGTCCTTCCTTGCTCTTTCTGTCATCTTCATTTTGCCTGGCAACTCAGAAGAAGCTGAATCTAAAAGGCACGCAGTAGACGGAGCCTCTCAGGGGGCAACTGCTACCCTGCGGGCCAGGAAGGGCACATCACTCATTCAGTTTTGTTTCCTCGTTTCGTAATAGGCACCTAGCATGTTTCCATCTTATGTATGAGAGGTCCCACCTACTGTGGTTTCTAGATACAGGATGCTCAAACACTCTTGGATGGTGATGACACAGTTTTGCTGTGTGCCCGCCAACCCGTGCCAGCTTGTCAGCTTCCTGATACCGAAAGCGCATGTGTGCTTCGAGCTCTAGCCTGGCTATGCTGTGACAAGGTAAGGATGGAAGGATTTCTTACTCTTCACACTTCCCGTTAGCCTTCTGGTAGCCCGCCATGCACACACACTCCCATGTTCCGTCATTCTTTGTTAAGCATTGCTTCCTGTCCTCTGTGCTGCAGGGCTCAGCACAGCTTACACCTGCAGTTTTAAAACAGAGTGATTACTAGGTCATTTCCGGAAACAATCAAAAAGCTTGGTGTGTGTTCGTGTGTGTGTGTGTGTGTGTGTGTGTGTTTGTGTGTGGTGTGTGATACAGAGCACATGCCAGGGCACACGTGTAGAAGTCACAGGACAACCTTACAGGCAAAGTCAGTTCTCTGCTTCCACCTTAACCTGGGTTTGGGGGATAAACTCAGGTCGCCAGGCTTGCTCGGCAAGAGCCTTTGCTGGTTGAGCCATCTCACCAACCCAGAGGTGACCTCTTCAACCCCCATTGTATGTAACATCTTACAGTTTTGTCCATTGGTTTTTCTAAGTAATACAAGGACATACCTCGGTGAAGGTGACCATGGCACCTCACCAGCTCTCAGCCCAGGGTCTAGTCTAAAGTCAAAACACACATGAGGACTCAAGCAGCCATGGTTGTCTTTTGAGAATACTAGAGGGGGGAAAGTGAGAACTGTGAGGGAAGTTTGGGTGCAGTTGGAACACTTACGAACACAAAAAGAACTCAGTAAATGCGGCCTCTTCAGTCCAAGTTTGCATGTGCATTGTAAAGCATCTTGGCAACTATCGGTGCCATTATCCACACAACCACGATAGTCACACAAATTTATATCTGTGAGAGGAATAAATACCCAAACCACAAAGTTAAAAAAAAAAAAACAAAAAAAAACACATTTCATACACCCAGACAGAAAATTTGTGAAAGCGTTTCACTCCCTCACTGACTATCCAGGCATTCAATCATTTGGCTTTCTTGATAGGTCCAAGTTTCCACCACCTAGAAAATGAAGCTAATAATTCCTGCTCACATGTTTGCTGTGAGAACAGAGAGAACTAATGTAAATGACACTGCCCACATCATCGGGAACCTCAGTAAGCCTTCATTCTCTTGTTCATTTGTAGATACGGTGGCATTTAAATGTTAGGCTCAGGATACTGAAGGCTTTTTTTTGTTTGTTTCTTTGTTTTGGTTTTGGTTTTTCAAGACAGGGTTTCTCTGTGTAGCCCTGACTGTCCTGGAACTCACTCTTGTAGACCAGGCTGGCCTCAAACTCAGAGATCCTCAGCCTCCTGAGTGCTGAAATTTAAGGCATGTACACACAACTTTTGACGCTAAATTTTGAATTTTTAAAAACTTTTATAGTATGCGTGTGTGAGAGAGGGTGTGAGTTATGCCAGGGGAACAGATTCCCACAGAGGCCGGAAGAGACTGTCAGATTCTGTGGAACTAGAGTTAAAGGCATTTTGTTAGGCACCTGGCACGGTTGCTGGGATTCAAGCTTCAGTTCGGTTTTAAGATTAAACGCGAAGTGCTCTTAACCTCTGACCATCTCTCCAGCCCCTGACTTTTGCTCCTAAGCCAGAGAATCCTCTGGAAGATGCTAAGCAGGAGCATCTTGGAACAGCCGTCCAAGAATGCTAGTCTAAATGTGGATTGCAAGCGCTAGGGGTGAGAGGGTGAGTCTGAGAGTGGCCTGGGGCAGAGGGTAGGAGGAGCTAGAAAAGGGGCGTTACTTCTTTCTGAAAAGGGGCCTGAACTGCAACCAACGCACTGCAGCTTAAAAATACCTCTGTCTTAGGGCTGCTGCTACTGTGATGAAACACCATGACCAAAGAGCAAGATGAGGAGGAAAGGGTTTGGCTTCCACTTTCACATCACTGTTTATCATCAGGATGTGAATTCAGACAGAGCAGGAAGGAGCTGATGCAGAGGCCATGGAGGGGTGCTCCTTACTGGCTTGCTCCTTATAGCTTGCTCAGCCTGCTTTCTTATGGAACCCAGGACTGCCAGCCCAGGGGCAATAGGCTGGGCCCTCCCCCATCAATCACTAACTAAGAAAATGCCTACAGCCTGATCTTTATGATGATATTTTCTCAGCTGGGGCTCCCTCCCGATGACTCCAGCTTGTGTCAAGCTGACATAAAACTAGCCAGCACAACCTCCAATTCAAGATCTAGAGAGAAAGAAGGCCCAGAAGAGAATATGCTTTTGTGGCCAGACCTGAGGAACTTCCTGTGAGTTCTGAGGCCTTGGCTTTTACCTGGGCCATTCGCTCTGTGGCTATTCTAGACATCAGCTTGTGGTACTCCCTTAATCTACTTAAGCACACACGACCAGTTTCAGAGGGGAGGGAGATGTTCAGAGAGGTGGTCCCGAAAGTACTTCTCAGAGCTGGCACTTACCCGTTTCAGTTGTACCAGGGTTTATAGGCATAGCAATAACCCAGGAGTGTAAAAATGAGAGAACTGTAATTGGGGGGGGGGGGGAGGATCCCCAAGACTATCCTGAGAAATGTATAACTTGTCCTTAGCTGATGTCCTTAGCACCTGTGGTCAGTGCCCACATGCTGATGAGGACCCTCAACTTCTTCATGTGTGTGCTAAGTCCTGTCTCGCGCCAAACAGCACGAGGCCCAGGGCACAGCAGCAATGGCAATACGAACTACTACTCTAGATAAAAGTCTGAGCCCCAGAGGAAACAGATCAGTGGACAGCAGCGGCAGGCCCCGTAGGAGAGCTTTGTCTCAAAGCATCTATGCTCCAGGCCCTGACACAGTGAGGAGGATCTTTGTAAAGCCCCGAAGGAAGAGGAAGGACGTTGGGGAACTCTACATGACCCTATTTACTTCTGTTGGGTTGGGGAGACGGCTGAGTCACTAAAGTGCTGCTATGCCAGCATGAGGGCCTGAGTCCAGTCCCAAGCAACCACGGGAAAGGGGCAGGCATGGCGGTGCCCACTTGTAATTCTAGCTCTGGAGAGGTGGAGAGAGAGGGGCTCCTCGGGGTTCGCTGGCCAGCCAGCCCAACCTAATCAGTGAGCTCAGAGATGAGGGAGATGAGAGCCTGCCTGTTGAAAGGCAGACTTCTGGGAGGTTGCCCCGTAGTGGGACACTTGACTAGCATCCAGGAGGTCCTGGGTTTCATTCCCAGCACTAGGGAGGGGGCCCGGACTCAAGGTAGAAGATGGCTCCTGGGGAACAACGCCTGGATTGACTTCCATACTGCACAGTGACACAGAGATGCACAGGTGGTTAAAAAAAAAAAAAAAAACTAAACAATTAACTAAATAAAATCTTTTTAAAAAGGAAAATTTGGAGCTGGACAGCAGTGGCACACGCCTTTAATCTCGGCACTCAGGCGACAGAGGCAGGCAGATCTCTGAGTTTGAGTCCAGCCTGCTCCAGGGAATGAGTTTCTGGACAGCCAGGGCTACACAGAGAAACCATGTTTTGAAAGAAAAAAAAAAAAAAAAGGAGAGGAAGTTGGAGACAGCAGTCAATCCCTGGACTTGCCCCTTTCTCACATATAATTGAAAGATTAACAGAAAGTTAGGTCTCTAGGCAAACTTTAAGCTGCTCAGTACTTACCAGTATAGTTTGACACATCAGAGTTATTAATAGTTGCATTTTTGATTGCAGCAGTCACAGTGGTTTCATTTTGACTTGTATTTTCTCCAAACATATTTATTACTGATACAAAGATATCGCTTCTACTATCCCTTATTGCAGATCTTGCTGACCGAGACGAGGTGGGGCTAAAAACGAAATAAAGATGTCAGTGGATGAATCAGACTGAAGACTCAACAAATAGTATTTGAACCTCCTTGATGCCCAAATCTGTTGCCGTCTAGTCTTGACCCATTGTCCTATCTCCACAACTGTAGACCACGTATGGAGGTCCGGGTGTAATACAGTGTCAAATTTTCAGCCAGGTGGCTTCGATCTGATGTGTGTTCAGAGAAAGCGATAATGAAAAAAACAACATTCTACTGGAAGGTACTTGGAGTTCTCAAGCCAGCTATGAATTGCAACCAAAAGATCTAGCCAAACTAGTCCATCTGGTGGCCTGGTCCATACGAACAAGGTCAACCATCAATAGCCCTCTTCCTCCAAGGCACAGCCTGCTCACGCTGGCCAGAGTCACTAGGATATTAGGGGCAGCCCGGAACCACACAGTTCCCTGTGCGGCGCTCTGGCTGGCCACCTCTTCTTCTGTGTGTGCATTCACAGGGAGACCAGAGACTGACATCAAGCGTCAGTTGCTCTCCACCTTAATATTATTATTTTTTAGTCGTTTGGTCAATAGGTGTTTTGTGCTTGAGACAAAAAAAGAGGGGGAAAAATCATCACAGAAAACTACTTTCGCTCAGTCCCCAAGCTTTGAGGAAGCGTGCCTTCTTTTGGGCTGCCCAATCTTGCTTCTGGGCAAGGGACATTTGGGGGTCATGACATTTCTTTTTTGGAGGAGGTCACTACATTTTCTTTAACATAAGTTTTATTTTACTTTATTGTGTGTGGGTGTTTTTCCTGCATGCATGTCTATGCACTGCTTGTGTGGTTCCCACAGAGGCCAGAAGAGGGCATTAGGTACCCTGGGAATAAAACCTGGGTCCTTTGGGGGAACAGATAGTGCTTTTAACCAGTAACCCAGCTCTCCAGCCCACAGTTCTTTCTAGCTTCTCTCTTGAGCTCTTTCTCATAGACCGGATTCTGTTACATAGAAGCATGAGCTTCATCCCCCCGCCCTTTATTAATTTTTTTTTCAAGACAGGGTTTCTCTGTTTAGCACTGTCCATTCTGGAGCTCACTTGTATAGACCAGGCTGGCCTCAAACTCACAGAGACTCGCCTGCCACTGCCTCCCAAGTGCTGGGATTAAAAGCATGAGCCACCCTACCTGTCAGAGCTTTATTATTCGCATCCTCCTCCGTGTCTGAAGTTACATTGTTCATTATATACTGAGAGGACTTTTAAAAAAAAAGTTTAAATTATATTTATGTGTGCGTGTGCAGATGTGTGAGTTCATGAGTGCTACAGGACACATATGGAGGGCAGAGGACAACTCCCCGAATAATTCTGGAAACCAAACCCTGGTCATCAAATTTGATGGCAAATGTCATCTTGCCCACTGAGCCATCTTGCCAGCCTGAGATCTGTTTTTTGTTTTTTTTTAACAAGCATCTTCATCTTCTTCCCTCATACAATCTGTTCTGTCCCATGATGTACTTCCTGTATGCTTCCCTGGATCATGACAAGGGGGTCATCTGGCTCCTTTCTGGGCCCCAGAACTTTATTACCAGCTGCCATTCTAGAAGTGGCATCTGAGAGCTAGTGAAAGCCTTGGCTGCCCACCAGTGCCTTCCATGGTGTGTTTTTCTCCAAGTGCCTCCACTTGCGTTTGTAGACCTTTGCTCTGCCAGACCTGCTGAGGAGCCTGAGGTCCAGCAGCAGGCAAGAGCTGTAGCCTGTAGCTTTCACACAGCATCACGGTGGCTCATGAGCACAGGCTGTTATACCCGGTGACGTAAGCAATCTGAACAATGACATTCCTGTCGGCTACATGACTTGTCTCCCTATATTTGGGGTCATGTACTTGTTTTTGCCCTGGCATGACTGTCTCACTGTCTCCTAGATTCTCCTGTTGTCCCCTAACGTAGCCCCTATCCTTGATGATGTCAGCAAACCCATCCTGCAACACCATGGCTCTACACAGACCTGCAGGCCCACCCGTCGGTGGAGAGGTAGGGACAGTCCACCTTCCCTGAACCAGGAGCTCACCAGTTTGGCTAGGTTGGCTGGCCCATGAGCTCCCGGGATCCTGCCTCCATTCTCCAATCCCAGACACAGGCCACTGAGGGAGGCTTTGCACCTAGGAACTGGGGCGCTAAACTTAGTTCCTTGTGTTTGTATATAGGGCAAGCACTTTGCCAACCTCAGTCCCGTGGCTATCTCTTCTGGACTTGTGACTTAACACAAGACGGCTCGTGGCATAGGGAGCTCAAGAGAAGAGCAGAAGTGAAGCAAAGATAGGCTGCCTCCAAAGTACCTTACTGGTCCAGAGAAAACTTACCTCACTTTAAGAATTACAGTCTGTCCAAAATCATCACCCTTAAATATGTCTTTAAACTGTGGAGGATAACAGATACAACAACAAGGTGAAAAAAACTTTAATTATATTCTAGGTTTAAACATTTCTTTCCTTTTTCTTCCCTTCCTCCCTTTTTTCCCTCCCTCTTTCCCTCCCTCTTTCTCTCCTTCCTTCCTTCCTTCCTTCCTTCCTTCCTTCCTTCCTTCCTTCCTTCCTTCCTTCCCTCCCTCCTGAGACAGGGCCTCTTGTAGCCCAGGCTAGCCTCAAACTTACTATGTAGCCAAGGATGACCTTAAACTTCTAAGTCTTCTCCTACCTCCGACTCTGAAATGCTGAGATTACAGGCAAGTACCACCATACCCAGGTGATAGACTGCTGGAGATCGAACCTAGGACCTTGTGAGTGTCAGGCAGGCACTCTACCAACAGCCACGTACATATTGAGCAAGTACTCTACTATTGAGCCCTTTGCATTTTACACTTACGTATTTATGTAGCTGATACACACACACACACACACACACACATCTGTTACTGAACCCTATCTTTAAAAACAAACAAAACAAAAACTAAAAAAAAAAAAACCCGAAAAATAACAAAAAGATGGATGTGATATGCAAATCTGTATTCCCAGCAGTCTTATGATGAGATGGGAGACAGAGAAAGAAGACTTATCCAGAAGTTGGAGCACCAACAAGCCTAGAATGCGGAGCGTGGCAGAAACAAGAGGCCATGTCTCAGCAAAGTGTCAAGAAAGCCAACTCCTGAAGGTTGTCCTCTGACACAAACACTAGGACACACTCACACAAAGTAATATGTGAACGCCTTTGATCCTAGCCCTGGGGGAGGCAGGGGCAGGCAGATCGACGAGAGTTTGGGCCAACCTGGTCTACAAAGCGAATTTTGGACAGCCAGGACTACACAGAGAAATCCTGTCTCAAAAAAAAACCAAGCCAAAACAAACCAAAAATCCTTTTTGAAACTGTAAGACTGGTTCACTGCCTCCAGTGCTCAGCCAGGTACTCCCAACCCTGGCTGAGCCCAGATATCTAAACACTGGCTGGCTGGATGAAAAGTTTCCCAGGCTCTAGAATGGCTCTTCACACTCCACTCCTTTCCTGCTAACACATTTGTTCTCTCTCTCTCTCTCTCTCTCCTTTTTTTGGGTGGCAGTGGTAGGGATCGACAGGTTTTCTGTGTAGCCCTGGCTGTCCTGGAACTCACTCTGTAGACCAGACCAGCACTCTCGAACTCAGAGATCCACCCTCTGAGTTCCCAAGTGCTGAGATTAAAGGTGTGTGCCATCACGCCCGGCAACATGATTTAAGACACATCAGAGCTCCTGTCTACTTAAAACCACGCCAATAGCTTCTTTAACAGGCAGGCCTGGATCAGCGCTCCACGGCTGCTTTCCAGAGGTATGGCAGGCCTATGCAGGTGCTCTGTCTCAGGTGTGCAACCCCCTGAAGCCCAAGAGTCCCTGGGGACCCATCTGCCCACCAGGAGGGTTGCATTTCACTTTGTCAACAACAGACACAGTTGTGCCATCTGGCCACATGACCAGCCCCACACCCTGTAGGAAGCTACTTCACAGATTGGAAAAATGGAAAAATACTTACAAAGTCTTCAACATGCTTTTGCAATTTTTGATAGTTTTCAGAGGTTTTATTTTCCAAGTCGGCTGCTTCAAATTTCATGGTGATCTCTCCAGGGAATGTCTTTCCTGAAAATCAGGCAGATCGTTTCTGAACTACTTAATGTCAATAGCACCATTTCAATGTTGTGTTTAAAGCATGTTACTTTTCTTCTTTTTTTCTGTCTTTTCTTTTTCATTTCCCTCCTCCTTTAAGCAGAGTCTCACTGGCTGGTTTGGAACTCCATGTGTACACCAGGCTGCCCCCAGATTCATGGAGAACTGCCTGCTCTGTTGCCCAAGTGCTGGAATTAAAGTCTGGCTTACTTTGTTGTTGGGGCATGTGTGTGTATGTTTCCGAGACAGGATTTCTCTGTGTAGCCTTGGCTGTCCTGGACTGATCTTACAAAGATCCCACCTGCCTCTACCTCCCTAAGTGCTGGGTCTACAGGAGTGCACCACCGCGCTTGGCTTATTTTTTCATTCTTGAACTTAGTGCATACTACTTAAAAATGGAAGGACCTTCGGGGGCATCATTTACATAGAGTAGATACAGAGAAATCAGATTAGTAGTGTTAAAAATACAAAGTTCAGGGGCCATATCTCTAACTATTGTGAGCAACATAGTCCATCTACTTCCTATACAACTGACCTGCTTTAGCAAGAAAAATCACTTCTTATTCATGAAGCAGAACAAAAAAGTATCGGATAAACCAGGGGTCTTCACCCTTCCTGAGGCTGCGACCCTTTAATACAGTTCCTCATGTTTCGGTGACCCCCAACCATAAAATTACTTTCGTCGCTACTTCATAACTGGAATGTTGCTGCCGTTATGAATCGTAACGTAAATATCCGTGTTTTCTGATGGTCTTGGATGACCCCCAGGGGGAGAACCACTGATTCAGACAGGCCAGCTTTGGGATCCATGGTACTTGGGTGACCTAACCCAGCTTGTACTGAGGCGCTTTCAAAGTCCATTTCTGGAGTTCTGAGAGCTCAGAGCAGGCTCCCAGCCTGCTGCCTTCTTCTGCCTCAGTGCCCCAGTGTAGCAATTGTACAATGCAGATAGGTCTTATTGTATAGTCAGTTTTCAGGGACTCTGACAGCACTTGCTCTCACGTTGTAGCTAGCATATTCCGGAGCAGCAGAGGGAAGGTTCAGCCCACACCAGAACTTCAGCCTAGCTTGCGAGAATCCACCTTAGTCTATCTCTACTTCCCCAGGATTGGCTGGGTCAAAAGCAGACTCTTCCCCTCCACCCCCACCCCCACCCCCGGCTTCTTTGCCTTCGGTCTGTCATCTGCCCCCTTTACTATCATTTTGGGATTCCTGTAAAGCCCACTTCAGCTATGAGATGCAGGGCTCTGCCATGGTTATCCCTCGTGACTTACCTCTCTCACACAGTGATGACGAACTATTGTAGTACCAGCCTTCCGAACACAAGCAGATAAAGGTGGAATACAGATTAACACACGAAGATTTCCCCCCACAGGGGTCCAACTTGCAAAGATCTAGGGGACCTTAGATAGAGGAGAAAGACATTACAAATCCACAGAACTCAGCAAAGAACTCCTAGTGACCTGTGTCGGCTGTTCATGCCCTCCCTCTGGATACACTTGGTTTTCTTTTGAGACAAGGTTTCACTGGGTGGCTCTGGCTGTCCTGGAGCTTGCTATGTACAGCAAGCTGACCTTTAACTCACGGAGATCTGCCTGCCTCTAGCCCCTAGTGCTGGGATCAAGGGTGTGCAACCTGGCCTCCATACCGTTTTTGTGTGAGTACATAATACATCTTTAGAAGGGCTGGAAACAGTCTGTTTTCTTCCATCTCCAGGGAAGACCAAAGCTGCAGTTTTGAGGCTGAGTGCTTGCTGATGGTGAAAGGTTAGAGATTGCTACCAATTTGCTTTGCTTTTTGGGAGCCCTGCTTGAGAGAGAAAAGCGGCTTCCTAATTCCAAAGAGTTGAGGATCTTCAGATCTCTTCGGGTCTCAAGGACATCAGTGCCTGCTCTCTACCTCTCTACCACGAAGTAGGGCGCCCCAAAACCTTTTAAAATAAAGCAGCTTTTTACAGAATAGTGTGGCAATTGCCCTACAGAGCGGGACAGGAGAGAAAAATGCAGATTAACCCAGCAAATTTCCTCCTCTCCAAGTCCAGCCTTGCTTAGCTTCCCATGAAATCAGGTGAATTCAAGGTAGAATGGCCTGGGCAACCTGGAAGCTGTCTAAGGACTGCAGCAAGGATGGGCTTCGAGGTTCTGCAGGGGAGGACTCCGAATAAAGCAATGTTACAATAGCTCCTGCACCCTCACCTGGATTCCCCGGCCAGGCACACCTGGCTTAGGCCCTCTTTTCAAAGAACTGGTGAGACCGGAGGAGGGATGTTCTACCAGGTGAGCAAATGGTGATCTTGGTCGGCCTTCCTTCCTTCCTTCTACAGGACTGAAGATTGAACCCAGGCCTCATGCACGCGAGGCAAGTGTCTACCATCGAGCCATAGCCTCACCTCCACCACGCCCCATTCAAAAAGCTGATTTTTAAGGCACAGTGTGTATAGCATACTCCTCCGTGATGAGAAAGCAAATGTACTTCCTGCATTTGCTTAGGTTGTCTCTGGAAGCACAAGGAACTGGCAGCAGAGGTTGCTTCTGGGGTTCTCCAAGGGCCGTGAGGTTTAGGGGGGAAGGATGTTAGTTTTAACTGCATACACTCTTGTCCTGCTTGAGCTTTACTGACATAATTGTGTTTTTGTTTTATTGGGATTTTTTTTTTCATTAAAAAAAAAATTCTTACATTTACTTAGTGTGTGACAAATAGGTACTTATGTGTAGGTCCTGGGGATGAAACTCTGGCACTTTAGCCAGTTGAGCCATTTCACTGTCCCTTTTTAAAAACTTTTCAGAGATGGCCCAGAGATTAAGAACATTGGCTGTTCTTCCTAAGGTCCTGAGTTCAGTTCCCAGCAACCACAGGGTGGTTCACAACCATCTGCAGTGAGATCTGGTGCCCTCTTCTGGTGCACAGGTGTACATGCAGGCAGGATGCTGTATAAATAATAAATAAATTAATCTTAAAAACTTTCAGGGAGGGTCTCATATAGCTCAGGCTGACCTCAAATTTGTTATGTAGCTGAGGACAGACTTGAACACTTGATCCTCCTGACCTTCCAAGCCTTGGGGCTACACTTATGTGCTACCCTACCAGCAAAACCAGGTTTGTTAAACTAAATAGAAAAAAATTTTTTTTCAGCTCCATAGCAAGGATGATCTGGAGAGCACTAGCAGAGGAACAGAATGCACCTTCTCTCTGGAGACAGCAGACAAGACACTCAGGACATGCTTTCTTTCTAGCAATAAAGGACTAACTCAGCAGTGGTTGCTGGAGAGGTGATTAAGTCACAGGATGTTATAGTTGGAAGGGACTTGATTGCCACACCTTAGATACAAAGTCTTTTGTTGTTGTTTTGAGACAAGTTTTCTCTGTGTGGCCCTGGCTGTCTTGGAACTTGTTCTGTAGACCAGACTGGCCTCGAACTCACAGAGATCCACCTGCCTCTGCCTCTCGAGTGCTGGGATTAAAGGGATTCATCACCACCACCCATCTGACATTAATTACGAGGTCTTAAGTGAGTTTACTGAAGCCAAGAGAGAAGCAATTTGCCTCAAGCCAGCCAGCATGAGCCCCTCACAGGACTGCTGTGGAGAAAGCAGAAATGGCCTGGAGAAGCTACCATTCCCCTCTGCCCTTCTATACATAGAAGACTGGGAAAACAGCATCATAGACAAGCTGAGTTCTATGTACTTAACCATCCATCTATCTATCTATCTATCTATCTATCTATCTATCTATCTATATTTAGATATATATATATATATATTTAGATATATCAAGGAAAACTTGGAAAGTGATCGAAATTGTAGAGAGAGGCAAACTTACTCTCTTTGGGCCTCAGTTTCTTCCTCTGAGAATGACAAGGTATGTTTGGACTCTAGAGTCCTCTAGACCAGTAGTTGGTAAATTATGGGTCATGAGCCGTAACTGGCCAACCCTTTTTTTTTTGTTTGTTTTTGTTTTGTTTTACAAATAAAGTTTTGTTGGGATATAGCCAAGTTCATTCACTTATACATGGACATGGCTGCTTTTGTGTTAAAAAATGTCAGAAGTGAACAGTTTCAACAGAGACGCTGTCCACAAAGCTTAAAATAGATGCTATTTGTCTCTCATTGATAAGCTTTGTTGATGCTTATTCTAGATCAGGCTTGGAGAAATGAGCCAAGTGGCTTAGAATTATTGGCTTATGGCCGGTTACACACAAATGCCTGCGCTTCGGCCCTGGTCAGCCGACAACTTTTTGAGGAGAGCCATGCTTTGGCTTCCTAACCCATGGGCGCTCAGTTTCTGCCCTGTGATCAGCCGCCATCTCGACTGATTCCTGGGCAGAACGGAGAACCAGTGTGGAGCTGATCTCTTCCTTAAGCCAGGGCTTAGTCAAACCTTGTCTTTTTGGAGAACCCGAAGCTACCTCCAGCTCTCCCATGGTTAGCTCTCACAAAGACTAAACTTAGGAAACCATACTCCACAGCTGGGAAGTAGCTTGAGTGGCAGGAAGGGAAAGAATGCAGCAGAGCGCTCACTTGGGGGCTCCTCCGTCATGACTGAACTTGGGAGTTTTTCTAGCCATTTCCCTTCCTCACCAGAACGAACTGACACAATCGCTGTGAACCGCAGTGAGGGGACTTTTAGGGATCGCTCTTACCTGTGGTACTGGCGCTTGGGCTGTTTGGTGAAAGAGGGGTGCTTTTGGAAATGCCTGCTGAGGTAGATTCTAAAATCGGCCCCGTGGGAGAACCAGCGAGGTGAGGAACCACGGAGGGGTTGGCGTCACTACCTGGAGCTCTTACCTGAAGAGGGTGGCTGTGTGGCACTGGGAGGCTGAGTTGTCCCCGAGGGCACAGATGAATTACCGTCGGGCTG